AAGACCTAAATTGTCATGTCGATTTGGTTAAATAAATGTATGAACTTCCACTTCTGCCATAAAGGATTAAGTAATTTGTACTAACTTTCCTCCTTAGGAAAACTTATAAAAAAAAAAACTTAGACAAAATAATGAGAAAAAAATAACATTTTAAAGGCATTAAAAGAGCTAAAAATGAGTGAGGAATTGCTTGGCAAAGATTCAGAAGATGGAAATTCAGAGAGGTGAATCTGTCAAGACTTCTATTGCCCAGGAGAAATTTGCCAAGCAGTGCTTACGACAGTATCACTAGGCCAGGGAATCAACATTGAGAATCCTGGGTTACAGGAGAAGAAAGGAGACTTGCTCCTCATGGGATATCCCTTTGCATCTTTTGATTTTAGTATTATGTACAGGTACCACATTCAAACAAAGGAAGATCCAAGAACCATCAATACTATGCACCCAACCAGTTAGTGAATAAGAATAGTAACTTATACATTCCTTAGTGTCACGTGGCACATATCTATACTCTATTTTTTCAAAATATAAAGGCTAATGTTATCTTGAGATATATAACATAATAAAAGGCACATACTGTTATGCTTTATACACTCCATATTTAGGAATCTAAAGATAGGGCTTAAAAAGTAACACATATTTTGGTACTATGGAATACAATTCTAAAAATATTAAAAATTTGCTTTTAGTGATCAGTCAATGCCCCTAGAAGGCAACTAACACCTAAATATCTCATGGTTTAACTTTAAAATTCTGGACCAGCATTCCATTCCATTTACCACTATAATGGTTTACACTGCAGTTACCAGGATTGCCAAAAATGGATCATGAGTTAAAAAGTTAGAAATTATAATCGGAATGGTATTTTTCATCCTGTAATAGAACCACAGGTTGAGTCTAGATAGTCCTTATTTATTTAAAGATAGGCTATATATATATATATATATATATATATATATATATAATATCATACAGGCTCACTAGTGAAACTGATAATGTAATTAACTCTGTGAAATACTTCGGAGACTACAGATGAAATTTTTAAACTTTTTAGCCAACCAAATTCTCCAAGGATGACTGCAATGTGAATTTTTATAAACATTTTCTCATTTTGATACAGAAAATAAGTTCAGGTAGTTTAAGAAAGTGACTTGTAGAGTAGTGCAACCATCACTTCAGCTGAATTGCTGATTTGCACAGCAGGTCCAATCTGGCTACATAGTTTAAAAAAAATTGAAAATTATAAAAAAGAAGTTGCTGTGAATAGCAACAATAAAGAGTATAAGGTAGAAAAATGAGGCAATTAAAGAGTTAAGGATTCAGAGTCCAGATGAAATAAAGAATGCAAAGGCAATAACTCTAAGAACAAACACATAAAAGGTCAATAAAGAATATAAATGCCATCTGTTTTCATGTTTCCTAACAGTAATATTGAGGACATCTTATTGTTTCTATGTAACCCGGTGTTCCTTCATTATCTTGTGGCAAACAGCACCCCTCTCCAACTCTCAAGCCATCCAGTTTAAGTGGGATTGAGTCAAGCTCCAGCTCCAGAGGTAGCTGTCATTCAGAATGGCCCATCCCGCTGGCCAACGGATTGGTGCAGAGATAGGAAGGTCATCCACTTAGAGGTGCTCGGGGAATTTTGTTGAGGAATCTAGAAAAGAAAAACTGGGCAGCTATTTTGCAACTTTGAGAAAGCTGAGATCCAGTCAAACAGTCTCCAGAAATCACCTCTCAATCTAGACTACGAATACCATGGTGGATTGTATACTATTTCAATACTTCTCTTATGAGGGGAGACGCAGCATAGCACAGGGATTAAGAGCACAAACTACAGAGCCTGGCTCTTGATCTTAACCTCAGTTCTGCTTCTTATTAACTGTGTGACCTTGGGCAAGACACTTGAGCTCTCTCTCAGTTTCCTCATCTGTAAAATGGGAATAACAGAACTCAGTAGGGTTGAAGTTTAAATGAATGAATACATGAAAAGCAATCAGAACATTCCCTGGCACAGGGTAAGTGTTATATAAATGTTAGTTATTATTATCGTTGTTGTTATGAGGATTAGATGAGTAAATGGAAAGTGTTTAGAACAGTGTCTGACACATAGTAACCCTGTATACCTATTATCCACTATTAAAACTACCAATTCTTTCATTCACTCAACAAGTATTTATTGAATACCTCTTCTGTGCCAGGCCAATGTCTTCATTCTAGACAAGCAGTATCCAACAGAAATGTAATGTAAACCATGTATGTGAGCCAAGTATGTAACTTTAAATTTTCTAGTAGTGACATAAAAAATAAATAAAATTAAATAAATAAAATTACTTTTAGTAAAATATGTTCTTTAATCTCCAAAATATCATTTCAACATATCAATATTAAAAACAAGATATTTTACAGTCTTCATTTCATTCTAAATCTTTGTGATCTGGTATTTTGTACAGTACATTTCAATTCAGACTAGCCACATTTCAAATATTCAACAGCTACATGTGGCTAGTGGCTAATGCTTAGTTTCAGACATGAAAGAAGGAAAATGCTATCTTTGTCCTCTACCACATCTTGTTACTAACTATATAATTTTTTTCATTTTTCAAAGTACTTTCACCTTTGTTATTTGAGAGGACCATGCCTTGCCTTGAAGGATTGATTCGATTTTAGCAGGTGGAGAAAGTTCCCTTCAAGAGGAAACACATGAGCAGAGGCAACAAGGCAGGAAAACAAAGGGTCTATTAGGGAAGTAGAAATCAGAGAGCAAAATCTAAGATGTATCAGGAAAGCCCTTAATGCCAGACCAGGGAGGCTGGATGTTGTTTGTCAGGTGGTGGGGAGAAACTGAAGGTTTGTGAGTGGGAGAGGCAAGACTGGATTAAACTAACAGCTGAAGATAGCATGAAATGGAGAATGGAGAAACTAGAGGTAGCTCATTAGGAAATCACTGCATTAAATCTCAGGCAAAAATGATCTAGATAAAGGAATGGAGAAGAAGAGATAACCTCACAATGTCTGATACTCAGGAGATCCCAATGTTAGTTTATTTCTTCCTTTGGCAATTGGAGAGATTTTAAGGAATTGTCAAAAAAATAAAGGTCTAAAAAAATATTCAACCAACCAACAAATATCTGAGCACCTACTACTTGCCAAGAACTATGATAGACTTTGAAGGTTATAAAAGACAATAAGGCAGACAGGATTCCTGACCTCTTACATCTTGTATTTTCTTGAGGGCAAGAGACAAAAATCAATTATCAGGTTTCACAATGTGAATTACTATGAAGAAAATAAATACGGAGATGAGTGGCCAGGGAAGGGCACCCAGAATTGGTGACAACTAAGCAGAGAGCTAAAGAATAAAATGAGCTGGATGTGCAAGGAGTCAGAGGATGAGGGTTCCAGGTAGAGAGACAAGCAAGGCAGAATCCTGGAGATATTAGTAAAATCCGGGGTGTTCACAAACTAAAACAACAGTGTTGCCAGAGCATAATCTGGGTGGGGGTGTTCACAAACTAAAACAACAATGTTGCCAGAGCATAGGGGGGGGGGGGGGGAGGGGGAGGTGTGGCCGGAAGTACAGTGAGAGGAGCAATCAAGAGGACAAGTCACCTTGGGCCTGTAGGCCATGACAAGGAACTGGATTTTAAGAGCAATAGGAAATCACTATATTCTAGTGTCCAAAAGGTTTCAGGCAAGGGAATGAGATGATCTCCCTTTTAAGATCCATCTTGCTACAGTTCGTAAAACTGCCTAAGGATGGTAAAAGACGGAACCCGAGATTTCAGTTAGAAGGAAACTAGCATGCAGCAGGTGAGAGATGATGGTGGCACGGTCTAGATTAAGAAAGGCCCTTGGGAAAATTAACGGCCCCGTCCTAATATTTTTGCAGAAATGATCCTTTATGATTCTGCTGCACAAATCCCAAATAAGGTGAAGGATGTTGTCTTGTCCTATTATGAACTTTTCTGGGGAAAATGCTCTCTCCAAAATCAACATAAAATTAGATCTTTGTCACTTCTAAGTATTAGAACATAAAATCTTAACCGACGTTGTTAAACTCAAAATAGATTTCCAGCATGTAATTTTCATTTTCTGGAAGGTGATTAGGAATCTTTCCAAAGAGATGACACATGGCTTGAGAACTGGGGGGGAAAAAAGCCAAAGGAAGCAGTCACTAGGTCGCCACGCTGAAAGAACAGCGAAGTGCAGAGGCCTTGAGATGGGAATGAAATGGCCACGTTCAAGGAACAGAAGCAGCCCAGTGGCTGGAGCAGAGTAAATATCCATGGTATGTGGTCCACATTTAGTGAATCTCCAAGACATGCCTTCTAATTCGTCTGTCAACAAAGTGGTCATAAGCAGTCGCCATCAATAAGAAACAAGCAGAGAAAGGGTCTACAGTTAAATTTATTTTTCAGTTGCCTCTCAAAAGGCTAAGAAAAACTCAGTTTCTGGTGAACAAAGGTAGAGATGTTTATTTTAAAGAGAATGAATATATCTAGGAGGAGCCTGGCAGTATATTCCCAAAGGCGTGACAATAAAGTTCCTTAACGTGTAGTCAGCACCCTCCTACAAAATCTCACAAGCTCAGCACCCTCAAATCTCAACATGTCTGGAAAATTTGGAAGCATTTCCTCCTGTCAGCGGCCCTTCAAGCCGCTTCATACAGGACAGCCTCTCCTACCCCGACCTGGAGCCTATCAATCAACGAGAAAACATCTTCCCCTCCCTGGGCGTGCGAACCAACACCGCGCGATCAAGTTGGATAGAGGACTGGAAACCGAGGTCTCATAGGGCAGTCCTTAACGTCATATCCGGTTGTCCGCTCAGCCGCCCTCGCCTAACCGGAAGTCGCTGGCGTGACGACGCAAAAACGCCCGTCGCGGGCGCGTCTCTTTCAGCAGCCAATGGGCTCTGCCTACCTTAGGCCTCGTCATCATTTTGTCTAATCGCGTCCTGTGACGCTCGAAGGGCGGGGAGCAGAGGGAGATACAGAAGCCGAGAGGGGCCAGGCGCCCGGTAGATCTGAAGCCGGGTAGTGGGAGAAGATGGTTTACATCTCGAACGGTAAGTTGAGAGCGGACTGTGGCTTCGACCGGTGACTTGTAAGATCGGACCCCAGGTTCCTTTCATCGTCGCTCGCTGAGTGTTGGACCCGGTGCGGCTTCCCCGGGCTTAGCGCTCCGCGGCCGGGCGGAGCTGGACGCGAAGTCGCCCCGGCTTGTGGCGCCTCAGCAGATGGTGTCCGAGCCGGCAGTCGGGGGCCGAGGTCCCGCCGACCTCACGCTGAGTATTGGGAGCCCTGCAACCCCGCGTTAGTATAGCAAGCGCTTGATTGTGGATTTGCTAGGGTGGTCTTTCCTCTCGGGTATCGGTATCCTTAAAACTAGTAAGGACAACGACGCCGACGCTGTACATGTAGCGCTTGTGCCCTGGGCACTGTTTCAGTTATTTGCTTATCGTCACATTGAATCCTGTTCTACGGGTGGAAACTCTGAGGCGCAGCTAGATTAAATAGCTTGCCCAGGATCACAGAGGTAACAGTTAATGGCTGAGTCGGGATTCGAACCCGGGTGTCAGACTGGCGTCAGCGTCCTTGTTATCTACTTTGCTGCCTCTTTCTACAACGTGTAAAAAGACCGAGCCGACCTAGGATGATAATTAGATGAAAGCTTTGCATAGGCTTTTTCCCCCAGGAGAGGGTAGCTAGTCATACATGGAACTTTTTGCTCGAATTTCAAGGGGCACGGGAAGAAATACTATCTTCCCCTAGGAGCAAGTTAATTATTACCGGAATGGAGAATCCGAGAGACTTAATTCTGCGACCTCACAAAGAAGATGACCGAAAAGGAAGGACATGACTGTGTCAGATCAATGCTAGAGCTGCCTGCCCACCTGTTTGACTCAGGTGAAATTTTTTGGTGCAGCCTTAACAAGGAGTTGTGGATCACTGGAACTAGGTCTTGGTTCTATTTGAGTCATCTGTTTTTCTCCACAGACGAGTAAGGTAGTCGATGAGAAGCCTTCTAGCCGAGTGCACTTTTGCATTTCTTGACTTTTCAAAATCTCCCCTCCTCATTTCCCACTTAGAAATCTTTGAAACAAGTAGATTGATGGACACTACAGAAAAGCATCAAAATTCCATCTTAGTTTTGGGCGCTTTCAGACTTTAGTCTGTTTTATAGCCTGTTTCCTAGCCTTTGTGATATAAGCTTAAGGCTGGAAGCTTTTGTATGAGTCATTGAATAATTCCTTGTATTTGCTGTGTCTTACTGTGTTCGCATTATTTTATTTGGTCCACATAAGTAGCCGATTAGGACCCTTTATCGCACTTTAAGAGTTGAGAAACACAACTGCATTCAAACACCTTACTTCTCTCTGGGGATATTGGTGGAAGGGACATTCTGCCTTCAGAAAGGGAAAGTGGAAAAGCAAGATTGAGTCACAGAGGAAGAAATGACGGGTTCCAATTAGATCCACCTTCTTAGGACTGTATTATCAGCACTTAATGGACAAAATCTTTCTCTTACTGTCAGATGACTTTTTTTTTTTTTTTTTTTTTTTCCTCTTAACAATCTTATGTGGTGGCTAGCCCTGGAATACTTTTTGTTGGAGAAAGAAAATGTCACATCAGCCAACGAAGCAGAGCTAGTAAGAGGCAGAGAACTAAGCCTGTCATCCATCCTCTAAAGTTTTGTAGCCCCTTGCTCTCAGTAGCACAGTGAGAGCTTAGATCCAAGTGGATATCTGAAATTAAGCTGGTCAAGAAGAGAAAAGTAAACCCTCGTGGAGTGGGTAGAGGTGAGTGGGGTTAACTCTTGGGATAATGGAAAGGAGAGGTAGTTGACAGTTATTCTCCCCCCCAAATATTCTGACATCTTGATTTGCAAGGCTGAAATGATAGTGTACCAAATTATGTTATAGCTTGTATTAAAGTGGTTTGAAAAATAGATCCAGTTTTGCTTAAGATAAAACTAGAGTTTATTAGAATCAAGAGTATGCAATTATAGAAAATAGTAGTTATTTTAATGAAGAACAAGACAAATTCTCTTTACTACTTAGAGCATACACACTCTTTATAAGAATTTTATAAAAATAATTGATTCCAAAGCCTTGTAAGAGTATGAATAAGCAATCTTTTTATACAGGCAAGAGACTTTGTAAATGAAAATACTCAACATGTTTAGGAATATGGAAGTGGTGTGAGCATTCCTTTATATTCACCTGTCCCATTTGTTTCTTCAAAGTACTTGAATAAAGAGGTATTTTTACACCCATGTTGATAGCAGCATTATTCACAGTAGTCAGAAGGTGGAAGCAACTCAAGTGTCTATCGACAGATATGAGTGGGTAAACAAAATGTAGTATATACATACAAGGATATATTACTCAACCTTCAGGAAGGAGATTTTGACACATGCTGCAACATGGATGAAAGCTGAAGACATGCCAAGTGAAAAGCTGGTCACTAAAGGACAGAAATTGTATGATTCTTCTTTTATGAGGTTCCTAGAGGAGTCAAATTTGTAGGGACAGAAAGTAGAATGGTGGTTGCCAGGAGCTGGGCGGAGAAGGTAATGGGAATCAGGGTTTAATGGGTATAGAGTTTCAGCTGGAGAAGATGAAAAAGTTCTAGAGGTGGATGGTGGTGATGGTTGTGCATCAATGTAGAATGTACTTAATACCACAGAACTGTACTCTTTAAAATGGTTAACGATTGGTAACCATTGTTACATTTTTAAACCATGATAAATGTTTGTTTTATGTATAATATAAATATATTGTTTTATATAAAATATTTGTTTTATATATATATACACACACACATACATATATATGCACACATACATATATGTAAAACAATTTTTTTTTTTTTTTTTTTTGAGACAAGTCTCGCTCTGTCACCCAGGCTGGGGTGCAGTGGCGCAATCTGGGCTCACTGCAACCTCTGCCTCCCAGGTTCGAGCAATTCTCCTGCCTCAGCCTCCTGAGTAACTGGGACTACAGGTGTGTTCCACCATGCCCAGCTAATTTTTTATAGTTTTTAGTAGAGACGGGGTTTCACTGTGTTAGCCAGGATGGTCTCAATCTCCTGACCTCGTGATCCGCCTGTCTTGGCCTCCCAAAGTACTGAGATTACAGGCATGAGCTACCGTGCCCAGCCTTTGTTATATATTTATAGAAAGAGAGAAAGTAGTTGAATAGAATGAAGTCACCCACCAAGTTTATAAACTGTAGTAGACTTTTGACATACTAGAGGAATGTCCCTAGATAATGGAACATTACTTACTCCTCCAAACCTTTCCTTGGAATGATGCTCACAGATTTCTTCTGGTGTTGGCCATTTGGACCAGTGGGCAAGTTGAAACCCAAGTCAGTCATTGTTACCTAACTAAACATGATGCCTCTTGGGTTAGGGATTTGTAGCACTCACTAAAGTTTCTTTAATTCTTGTCTGTAGGACAAGTGTTGGACAGCCGGAGTCAGTCTCCATGGAGATTATCTTTCATAACAGATTTCTTCTGGGGAATAGCTGAGTTTGTGGTTTTGTTGTAAGTATAGAAATGCTCTTAATTACCCTGATATTTAAGTTGACAGGAGTCTATTGTGTGCATTCTGTTAGGTATCTTAAATAAGCTCAGTTTTCCTGAAACAGTTATCTATTGCAATTTTAAAAATAGCTTTACACAGGGAAATAGACTTTAGTGATAAAGCTGCTACCACCAGACATCTTATGAGTGTATGTTAATTGGATTGGTAAACTTGACCACATCTTAACCTTGGTGGTAACTACTTCAACCTATGGCTGGGTCTGTCCATTCTAATGCTAAATGACTGGGCCTCACTTTCTCTCTACTATTCTTGTTTTTGTGTGTGTGTGTGCAACGTTCATTCCATACTATATAACAAGTAAATAAAGGGTTTTATATCCTTTTTTAAAAAAAAATTCCAAAGTAGTGAAGTTTTTTATAATGAAGGGTTAGAATTGGTAAAGGAGACAAAAGTTTAAATGTCTTCATAATTGTAAGCAGTTACTAGTTAAATGCATGTTTTGGTCTTTTACATGCTGTTTGTTAGAATTGTTCATCAACAATTAAGAAGTCTTACCTATTCCTAAATTTGAACATATATATTTGAGTGTCTCATGATCAGAGAACTGTAGGGATGGAAAGATATGGGAGACAGACCCTTTTTTCATTGACTTTACTGTCAGTAAATATCTTCATATTGCAAGGGTGGGCATGACTGTGGGAGGTGAGCATCAGAGGAAGTTATCCCAGATAAAGGAAACCACATGAAGGATGAAGAAGTTTGAGTATCAGGCCGTGGTCTTTATGCTTAATTTGATCTTAGCCGTGGTTTCGGAAGTTTAATTTTATGGCTGTATATAGCATAAATTAGATGGTGTAGAATGTAAAATGGAAGAGATGTTTCCATAGAAAAATACAACAGGGCACAAGAGAGGCCCTAAGTTACCCAATCCAAAACTTACTCTTTTACAAATTTCACCTACTCCATGTTGTTTATAAAAGCACTTTATAAACTTAGTTAAATCCTTCCATATAATTTTACGTATCATTTTTTAAAATTCCATTTAAATGGATTCCCAGAAGCCCTGTGCCTTTGCCACACCACCCTCGGCCCATCCTTCCCTAACATGTTAGGTAGACTTTTGCAGGGGAAATGAACATGAGACACTGTAAAAACCCGATGGCTGATTTAAAGTGGAGGTCAGGGATGACTCTGGTTTCATGCTCTGTCTAGGGGAGTTACTAGCAAATAAGAAATACAAGGAAGGGTGGATTTGGTGCACAACATAGCATATTCAGTTTAGACACATACTTAAGTTCAATGGTGTTGTCCAGCTGGCTGCAAGAAATGTGGGTTAGGAGCTAAGTGGGTTTAGTAATCCTCTCACAGAGATGAGAGTTAAAAAGCATGGAAATATATTTTAGAATGTTGTCAAAAGTGATACCTTTGTTGTTTTCTGCCCCGTTTCAGTTTCAAAACTCTGCTTCAGCAAGATGTGAAAAAAAGAAGAAGCTATGGAAACTCATCTGATTCCAGATATGATGATGGAAGAGGGTACAGCTTTTTAAATTGATAGTTCTTTTTATCTCTTTGTATATCTTAATTAAATTAGATATTTTAGGTAGATAGAGTTAGATTTGTGGAAATTAAGAGTTTAAATCCTGTTTTAGAAAATTAATGCATTACTCTAAAAGTCAAATTGCCTCTGATTTGATAATAATCAGAGTTAATCTGACAAAACTAAAATATACATCAAATATCCCATGGGAAAAGTCTAAATTAGAGGATGAAAACTGATGGCCAGCATTTAAAATCTAAAGATTTCTTTTTAACATCTGGATTTCCAGTTGCTAATTAAAAACTTAGAAGACCACCAGGCGCCGGTGGCTCACGCCTGTAATCCCAGCACTTTGGGAGGTCGAGGCGGGTAGATCACGAGGTCAAGAGATCGAGACCATCCTGACTAACATGGTGAAACCCCGTCTCTACTGAAATACAAAAATTAGCTGGGTGTGGTGGTGTGCGCCTGTAGTCCCAGATACTCAGGAGGCTGATGCAGGAGAATTGCTTGAACCCAGGAGGTGGAGGTTGCAGTGAGCTGAGATTGTGCCACTGCACTCTAGCCTGGAGACAGAGTGGGACTCCGTCTCTAAATAAAAAAAAAAAAGCCTTAAAGATCAAGATCAACTAGCACTGGGCTAGGCTTATGTTTTTACCTGGCAAAAATCAGCTGGAGCTGGGTTTCACTGGGGCATTACTGGAGGTGCTGTTCAGTTCATCACAATCCTTTCTTGACTCAGTTCCTTGTATGCATTATGTATCTGGTCCCTTTAAGTGTTTTATTTTTGCCTCCTGACCTAAAATGGTAGTTTCTATTTTAAATTGTGTTTTAGGATCATGCGGGTGCTGAAAAAGAAAAGGGTCTAGTTGAGTGCTTTTAAAAGGAGACAAAGTTGTGTCTATCAAACAGTAGATACTAACTTTTTGTTCTATTAGGCCACCGGGAAACCCTCCCCGAAGAATGGGTAGAATCAATCATCTGCGTGGCCCTAGTCCTCCTCCAATGGCGGGTGGATGAGGAAGGTAACTTCAGATCTGAAATTCTTTTGTAGGATTTTGTTTTGAAAATGCTTCTGTAGTAATGTTTTCTTTAAGAAGTTGTCCAACAGCTTATAATTACTCAGACATTATTTGGAAATATATTTGTTATCTTAACCCTTGAAAAATTCACTGGCCTTATTATCAAAATGTCTTTTGAGAAAGGCTTTATAACATGTAATAGGTTGGGCTTTTCACACAGATCCAAATTAACAACCAGTAACTAATTATTGTAACATTTTCTTTCAGGTAAATGTCTGCTCTAAGAAGCAGACAACTGGACATGCGCATTCACAGCAGAAGGAAACCATCAAGAAGTGGAAGGCCGACCATGCTGAGCAGTAGATGAATGTGTCTGTCTAAACAAGGACTGCTCTGTGTCCTCACAGATGAATGAGGTCATGCTAGGAATTCCCTCTACAGGGAACTGGCCTGACTGACATGCAGTTCCATAAATGCAGGTGTTTGTCTCATGACCTTTTTGTATAGTTTATTAAAGTATTAATATAGTTTTAATAAGTAAATATTTTTAGGTTGCAGAGTGGACTCCTCATCTTTATATTCACGAAAAAACAATCTGAAGAAAATAAATAAAAGCCTGTGTATTTAGCACTGTTAGTGTCACCTTTTCAACTTCTGAAATACTGTTCATTGTTAACTTTTTCTCATTTATAAATCACACTATTTATTTCAGTAGTATGCATATCATATCTGTGCTCTTGAATTAATCTTTATCTTTAATATATTTGTCTCATCAATCTTTAATACATTGTGTCTGATTTGCTACCAAATATAATTATCAGGGTATTTATAAAGCCATAGCTAACAAAACTGAGCTACAAAATAGAAATTTACTAAATAGTCTTTAAAATCATGGACTTCGGCCTGGCACGGTGGCTCACGCCTGTAATCCCAGCACTTTGGGAGGCTGAGGTGGGCGGATCACCAGAGTTCAGGAGTTCGAGACCAGCCTGCAACATGACGAAACCTAAAATAACAAAAATTAGCCAGGTGTGGTAGTGTGCACCTATAATCCCTGCTACTCAGGAGGCAGAGGCAGGAGAATCGCTTCAACCTGGGAGGTGGAGGTTGCTGCGAGCACGCCACTGCACTCCTGCCTAGGCAACAGAGTGAGACCCTATCTCAAAATAAATAAATAAATAAATAAATAAAATGGGCTTCCATGCTATCTTGCCAAATTTGCACTCTATAGCGTTGCTCGGTATACTGCCTACTGGCTTTAAACTCCATCTGAATACTGATAACTTACATTCTTTCACTAGAGTGGAAGCTCTGAGACTAGGAATTTTGTTGTCTTATATAGTGACTACATGTAAGATAGTCATGTAGTACTTACTGGAAATAAATATTTATTGGAAAAACGAATACAGATTACTTCTAGTGTTTAATAGGCTTTGAAACCAAGTGTTCAGGTGAAAGCCTTTTTTATATTGATTTATCAGCATTTATTCAACTCTGTTTGTCAGGAAATGGGATGTTGTGGCATAAGATACCAGTGTTCAGGATAAAGAAGCAATTACAATGCAGCTTTCAGGATAAGGATAACAGTTTGCTGGCCACTTCAATTATGTGTCAGACTTTTTTTTTTTTTTTTTTTTTTGAGACGGAGTCTCGCTGTGTCGCCCAGGCTGGAGTGCAGTGGCCGGATCTCAGCTCACTGCAAGCTCCGCCTCCCGGGTTTACGCCATTCTCCTGCCTTAGCCTCCCGCGTAGCTGGGACTACAGGCGCCCGCCACCTCGCCCGGCTAGTTTTTTTGTATTTTTTTTAGTAGAGACGGGGTTTCACTGTGTTAGCCAGGATGGTCTGGATCTCCTGACCTCGTGATCCGCCCGTCTCGGCCTCCCAAGGTGCTGGGATTACAGGCTTTAGCCACCGCGCCCAGCCTTTTTTTTTTTTTTTTGAGACACGGTCTCAGCCTTATCCAGGCTGGAGTACAGTGGCTGCTCACCACAGCCTTGACCTTTTGGGCTCAAGTGATCTCCCGCTATGGCCTCCCTAAATGCTGGGATTACACGTGTGAGCCACAATGCCCAGCCTGTAAATTTTTACACATTTTAAATTCTGACAAAGTGAGGGATACATATAATGTATACATATATGCAAAGTGAGGTCAATGTATAATGACATTTTCATTATACAGACACATGCAAGGGTTCAGTAAAGTTTGGCAGCTTCCTAGATTGTATTGCCAGTGAATGGCAGAGGCATTATTAAACCTCCATATAGTGGGGAGACCATGGCAGAGTCTCAGTAGGTGGCTGATTGTTGTTACTGATGGCTTTTCCTGAGCATGTGAACCATGGTCCTCTTCTGTCTCCTAGCACTGCTGCTGCAGGACTTGTTCCTTGGGTCTTATCCCAGAGTCCTGGCTGCATTTGACATTCAGGTGTTCTTTGCACTTCAGACAGTGTAAAACACAGGTTCTTGAGTACTTGTGCTTAACTCTTGTCTTTGCTACTCTATAGCTTACGATCTTGAGTGAGTTATGCCATTTTATCCCACTTCACTCACCTGTAAAACGGATTAAATTTTTACCAAAAAGAGTTCTTTATTTAGGATTTAGTCATCACATGCTTATTGGGCACCTACCATGTACTGAAGATAACTGGCAAAGTCTCACGGAGCTTACATTCTAGTGTGGAAGACAGTAAGTGAGCAGGCATGATAATTACAGACTAATGCTTCATGCTTCAAAGGGAATAGGATGGTGAGAGGATAACTGCAGAAGGCCTGAGGTGACATTTGAGTTCAGACGCGAGAATGAGACAGCTGAGGGAAGAGCATCCAAGGCAAAATGAACAGCAAGTGCAACAGCCCGATGACGGGAAGGGCTTGGCGTGTCTGAGAAAGATAAAACAAGTGTAGCTGGAAATGCCAAGGAATGGGGAGACTGGTGTGAGGTGAAATTAGAAACACAGCAATAACTAGATATGGTCTTTAGGTGGTGGTTTGTTTAGATTCTGTTCCTTGAGCAAAGGGAAACCATTAGAGTTTAAAGCATGAGTGACATCTAATTTTTGAGATAAGTCTTAGTGGAGTGCTGGGTACATAGTATTAACTACATATTTTAAAACAACATGTGGGCAACTATATAAGAACAGATATAGGGGGACAGGACAAGGAATTCGAGTTAAGAGGCTGATGTAGTCATCCAGGTGAGATGAAAGTGGCTTGGGCTAGGTAGTGGCACGGGCATGGAGAAGTGGATGAATTCAAGATCTATTTTAGAGACTGCAGGATTTACTGATGGATTGGATGTAGAAGCTGCTGACAAGTGAAGAATCAAAATGACATTTACTGAGATGGTGAAAGTGAGAGGGGAGGGAATCAAGAGTTACATTTTGAACATATTTAAGTTTGCAGTGCCTTGTAGGCAATCCAGATGGAGAGACCAAGTAGGCACTGGTTATCAATCCGAATCTCTGTGAGAGGTTCAGCCTGGATATATATATATTTGGGAGTCGTATTCATTGTTAAAGCCAGGAAACTGGATAGTCACCCAAGGAGTGTGTCTGGAAAAGACCTAACCCCAACATTAGAGGCTGGACTGAACATGAGGACATATGAGAAAAATTAAGAGTACATACAGTATCTGGGAATCCAGGAGAAGAGACTGTGAGGACGAAATAAGTTGCGGGTTATCAGCCGACCCCCATTAGGCGCTCAAAAAGCTACGTGTACTATGTTGCTGGCACCCTACACAGTCAGGACTAATCACAGAAACACCCCACCCAGTCAATCCACAAGGACACCCCGCTCCCAGCCCCAGCGCCGGGCAGCCCCGCCCTCGCCTTTCCGGAGCCCTCTGGGACGACTCCGCGGCGGCCATCTTGACTGTGGGCAGCCGGCCGTGCGCCTGCGCGGTGGCCCTTCCGTGCCGGCAGTCGTGGCTGCGGAGCTGAGGCGAGAGGTTGGTGGGTGTTGGCGGCCACGATGACCCAGGCTGAGAAGGGTGACGCGGAGAACGGGAAGGAGAAGGGCGGAGAGAAGGAGAAGGAGCAGCGGGGCGTGAAGCGGCCCATCGTGCCCGCGCTGGTGCCGGAGTCGCTGCAGGAGGTGCGGCTCGGGACCGGTCTGGGTTAGAACCCTTTACCCTTGCTTGGGTCCTCCGCTGCCGGGCAGGGGGCGGGAGGCGGCTGGAGGCGGCTAGAGGCTTCGAGTCCTCCCTGCAGGCCCCAGCCCCTGGTGGGGAGTGCGGAAGTGGTCGTTCCTTTCCGGGTCGTGGCGCGCCGGGACGCCGAGGGCTAGGAGGCGCGGAGCGCCAGGAGCCAGGCGGAGCCCCCGCAGGGACACCGCTCAGTCCTCCCGCCCGCCCTACCGGCTGGCTGTGTGCCCTGCGGCCCGGGCTGTGGCCTCAGCTTCTTGACCATAAAACGACCACGGTGATACCAGCCGCCTCGCAGGTTGCCGTGAGGGTTAAATGGTGGCAGATAGAGTTTAGCACCAGGCTGGCTCACTGGGAGCGTGAGCCTGTACTTGTTAAGAGATAGTTCGGGGTCCAGGCTTTTTCCTTTGTTAAGAAATCTCAGATAATGGAAGTCATTTCAAGCAAGGAAATGGTGGACATTTGTCTAAATATATATTAAGAGCTTGTGTATCAAAAACAACACGATTAGACCAAACTAAACTAACCAGAAAAAATTATTTGCAGTAGCATGCCTGGCAAAGGACCTTAGACGTATGCACGCACACAAAACCTTACTGATCAGTAACTAAAACAGCATTCACGTAGGAAAACGGGCACAGGCAGTGTACAATTCACATAAGTGCTCACATAGGGCAGCTACTAGTTAGCTATCACTACTATGACAGTGCCTGGCACACGGTAAGCCCAGAGTGGCCATTACTGTTGGACAGGCCTGGTTTCTCCATCCAGCTAGTTGAGAAGGCTGACTGGATGGTCTGTAAGGGCCTTGCCAGATGCTTCCCTCTAGGATTCTCCTACTCTGGGTGGGGGTGATTAGGAGGGGAGAGCTCACAGTTGGAGATAGGACAGCAGGTATCAGAGCATGGCATGGAATGGGCTTGTGCAGAGGGCAGTATTGGGCACTCAAGCAAGTACCTCCTCCATCCCCGACAGTCAGGGAGGGTTTCTTCAAAGGAGGTGAGGTGACATCTGTTTAGAGTCCTGAAGGTGATTAGGAGCTAACCAGAGGGAGGAGGGAATCTCAGGGAAGAAGAACAGTGTGGAAGAGACTTGTGCCAACAGAGGATGTGAAGTGTTGGAGGCCCAGCGGTAGATTAGGGTGGTTGGAGTTAAGGAAGGGGACTGGAGATCATAGCGGGGGCCATATCATGAGGGTCATGTAAGCCACAGAGTCTGACTTCTTGTGAAGGCAGTGGATCACGTTGAAAGGCTTTACTATAGTAAAAGTCAGCATTCCTCGAATGCTTCCGGTGGCCCAGCTCTGAGTTACATGTATAACTCATTTAATCCTCACAGTAACTGGTGAACTGTGGGAACTTCATTCAGAGCAAGGAAGTGGCAGTCTGAATTTGCAGACAGATCTGTGAATTCAGAGCCTGGGCCCAGATTCTATAGCAATGTTTCTTCAGTCACATAAATTTTCAGGAAGTGTATGTTAATTTGTCGTGGATAATTTTTGTTTCATTCATTTAAACAAATATTTGTTGAGCTATGTACTATGACTCACATCAAGGGACCATAATAAACAATACATTTGTGTTTAGGTAAAGAGCAGTAATTGGATACTTCTCAAAGAACTCTCTTTACTGAATTATTTTGATACCTTTGAGTCAGCTTCTTAGTTTAGCTTGTTATGTGTATGTTGTTTAACTTTGTTACTGGCATATTATTTATGAAGGTCACACATCTATGTTTTATATCTGCAGCAAATCCAGAGCAACTTCATCATTGTCATACATCCAGGTTCAACAACTTTAAGGATTGGTCGAGCCACAGACACTCTTCCTGCCAGCATTCCTCATGTCATTGCACGAAGACACAAACAACAAGGGCAGCCCCTATACAAGGACAGTTGGCTTCTAAGGGAGGGACTAAATGTAAGTCAAAAATGACCTGGAGAGAAAGCCTAAGGTTGTTTCACTGGGAGGGCTTAGACACTTAAGTACACCAGAATCTTAAAGAAACATCTTCATAGCTTTGCTGTGTTTTAAAATAATAATGTCACTCATTTTTCATCAGAGCTAGTGACTTGAGATGTAAAGAATTAGTTACAACAAAAGTAAGTCTTTCAGGGTGAATTGAGTGTTGATGAAGGTGTTCTATAATGGAAGACACAAAATCATCACTCACTTAAAGTGATACATTCAGGTCCTTGTTAACAGGCTTAAACTTACTGGCCATATTTAAACTGTAAGTATCTGAAAGAGATACTATTTCAATCCATTAGCAAATTAGATTGTTACAATAAGCACTTTTGGTCTTAGATTAACCATAATTTCAAGGCAAAAAAAAATTTTTCTTGCAGTAAGAATCTACTTTATCCTATGTTACAGATGGTGATTATCAGGAAAATTATTTGTGATCAGTGATAAATCTATATATTACATCATAATTCACATTTTACTTTGAAGTTTTAAGTCAAGGATAGTTTTGGGAATGTAAAGTTTCTTTAATTCTGATAGTAGGCCTTAGGATTCCATTTTTTAGTGTAACTAGCAGACTCTACGTAAGTCCAGTTGTAAGTTTAAATATAACTTGCTGATATAAGAGTCTGCACTTCATTATTTATCTTTGGATCTTGTAATTCTACTTTAGGGAATACGTTTAAGAAATAAAAATCAAAAAAATTTCTGTAAAGATATTTATGGACATTTTCTTTATACTATAATAATGAGAACACTTGCTGATCAACATATGAAGGAATATGACATTGTCAAAATTGTAAACATAAAAATTATATAATTGTATGGAAGAGTTTCTGAAATACTTTGTAAACATGAAGTAGGTATGCTTTGATTAGTGCTGTGAGAAATTTGATGAAAAATCACTTGAAAATTTAGCATATAGTTGTTTTATAGCGAGGGCTGCTTTTGACTTATAAAAGATTCCTGGGAATTCTTTTTTTCTTGTCTTGAGACAGGTTCTTGCTCTGTTCTTCAGGCTGGAGTGCAGTGGTGTGACCTCGGCTCATTGCACCCTCCACCTCCTGGGCTCAAGCAGTCCTCCCGCCTTAGTCTCCCAAGTAGCTGGGACCACAGGCCTGTGCCACCACACCCAGCTAATTTCTTGTATTTTTTGTAGAGATGGTGTTTTGCCACATTGCCCAGGCTGGAGGGAATTCATAAGAGTAGTACATGTGATAAAGATTAAGGAAATGCTACTTGTTGATAAAGGAGCATTTCCAAAGATTGGATTAAATTAGTAGTTTTTGAATTGCTTTCTCTTCTCATTAAATCCTTTGTACTGCTCATCTTTCATTTCTTCCCCCCAGAAACCGGAAAGTAATGAACAAAGACAAAATGGCCTTAAAATGGTGGATCAAGCAATATGGTCTAAAAAGATGTCCAATGGTACAAGACGCATTCCTGTGTCCCCTGAACAGGTTCGATCAACTCTTCGGATTTATTCTTTCATCACCACTATTTGTATCATAATACCATTCACATGTTCTTCCTGTATCACTATGCAAATACAAGATGGGAGTTCCTTATAAAGGAAGAAAACCCCCCATAACTACTTACAGAATACCCGAGTCAGTGTTACAAATGCTTAGGCAAGCCACATAATCTATGAGGTGGGGGTAGGCAAGTTGAAGTATTTTGCCAAATATTTGTGATTAAAATTTGCCAATGTATCTAGTGTGGGAGAGAAAAGAAAAGGAGACCCTTATATTGCCCCTGCCTTGAATAAATTGAGACAATTTTTTGATGGTTTTTCTTTTCAGGCACGCTCTTACAATAAGCAGATGAGACCTGCAATTTTAGATCACTGTTCGGGAAATAAGTGGACAAACACATCTCATCACCCTGAGTATTTAGTAGGAGAGGAGGTAAAAAACTTCTTTACACTAAGAATGGAAGAAGGGGAACCTGATACTCCTCCTAAAATTCACTTACATTGACACTGAGTCCTAGTCATTTCCCAGCACTCTATAACCCTACTTTGAGTACCAGAAAGTCCCACCGACTCCTACATCACTCTCAACATTTCTCACATTCAGCAAACGTTAGTTAGATTTTTGGATATGAATCCAGAAAACCTTGAGAGAAAAGTTTTAACAAAGTACTCATCTCCCTCCTCCTTTTTAGGCCTTGTATGTTAATCCACTGGACTGTTACAATATTCACTGGCCTATTAGAAGAGGTCAGTTAAATATTCATCCAGGCCCTGGGGGCTCTCTTACAGCTGTTCTGGCAGATATTGAAGTAATATGGTCTCATGCGATACAAAAATACTTGGAAATCCCACTGAAAGATTTAAAGGTAAGTTAAAATTCTCAGTTAATTTGGATTGTTTTTAAGATTCTTGGTCAATGAAAGTACACATTACCGAGTTGTTTGTAATATAGTGTCCTTCTTGATGCATTCTTGGCCTTCAGGGTAAGGATCTTAGTGGCTTGAGGATGTCTTTTCTTCTTCAGTTAATTCCCTTCTAGTGCTTTTATTCTTTCTCTGTTTCTTTGGTGTCTCTATTACTCAAATCAGCAAGCTTGCTTATTTTTGTCTTCTCTTTGGACCTTACTGACACATCAGTTGTCTTATTTTTTATTTTACAAGTTTTTAATAATTTCAAGAAAAAAAAACACTTGAGCATTTTTTATTTCTTTATAAAACCCAAAGGATAATACAGAGGTTTGAGCTTTTATTCTGGGTGTGTAACCGTAGCTGCTACTCCTAAAAAGAAGTGGTGAATTCGACCTGACGAGACTTGAGTGTTAACCCTTTTATCTTTGTTCTTCTTTTTAGTATTATAGATGTATCTTGTTAATTCCTGATATCTATAATAAACAGCATGTGAAGGAACTAGTGAATATGATACTAATGAAGATGGGCTTTTCAGGTATGTCTGATATCCCAGTGAAACCTATTTTAAATGGAATTTTCTTTCTTTAATGACAGAGTTAATCTAATTTATGGATTTATTTATTTATTTATTTATTTATTTTGAGATGGAGTCTCACTCTGTCGCCCAGGCTGGAGTGCAGTGGCGCTATCTCGGCTCACTGCAAGCTCCGCCTTCTGGATTCACGCCATTCTCCTGCCTCAGCCTCCTGATTAGCTGGGACTACAGGCGCCCGCCACCATGCCTGGCTAATTTTTTGTATTTTTTAGTAGAGATGGGGTTTCACTGTGTTAGCCAGGATGGTCTCGATCTCCTGACCTCGTGATCCGCCCGCCTCAGCCTCCCAAAGTGTTGGGATGACAGGCGTGAGCCACCGTGCCCGACTTATTTAAATGCTTATTCTGAAAGGATCAGTGTTCCTCAGATACCCTGGCCAGAAGTCCCTAGGCTGCCCACTTCAGTTGATTATCTGTTTTGGGATCTTTGCTGCTCTACAGCTGATCACTACTCTGCCTTTTTTTTTTCCCCCAGGGATCGTGGTCCATCAGGAGTCTGTGTGTGCCACCTATGGCAGTGGCTTAAGCAGCACGTGTATTGTAGACGTTGGGGACCAGAAGACAAGCGTATGCTGTGTGGAGGATGGGGTGTCTCATCGGAATACTCGGTGAGGAACTTGGAAGGTGGCATTCCCTGTTCCCTCTTCCTTCATAATCTGTTCAACTGTAAATAATAAAAAATCACAGGTTAAAAATTATAAGATAACCATATATTCAAAAGTCTGCATAGGAAACCAGCAAGATTATGGAAGTGCAAATTCCAGCAAGGCGAAAACGAATCATTTTACCCTTCCCATTGGAACTTCTTAATATGGATTTACATCAGCAGCCCCTGAAAGTCCTGGTATGTTTTATGTGCTTTCCCATAGAGGAAATGTAAACGGTAGCTTCATGTCTTTAGCTGTGGTTTGGCACAGAGCTACTAATCACACCCTTATAGCAGAGCTTTATTTCGGCAAGTCATGTAGGAGAAAATGGGCTTTTTCAATCTGAATTATCTGGCTAGTGTTTTGAATATCTGCATTTTTTTGTCATAGTGGTGTTCTGTGAGTAACTTTATGATGATAGACAGGTAAAGAAAATCACTATCAGGACCAGATTTGCAGCTTGTCCTTCTTCAGGCAAGCCTGACATGTGAGCACACTCAGGTAATGCAGAGGTGTGGGCTCTCTGAAGCATTTTGTGCTCCAGAGATGGCTTCTTGCTGCCCCTCAGGATGTTTTCATTCTTCCCGTCCTCCACATTAGGCAGTTTGAGTCTTTAAAAGAGGGCTTAAATTATCCATGAGAAAGGGTCATCTGCTGCCTGCCTCCCACCCCAAGTTCTAGTACATTCTAAAATCCATTTTAAGTTATTTTGGCTCATCCGTTGTTAGAATATCCAGTGCCACTGGTTCTCAAAGTGTGGAGAAAATGCTGGACCCACGTTTCCTACCAATAAAATAATATAGCAGCTGTCTTCCCAAATTATAGAAAACTTCTTAGTAGACAGCTTTCTCTAAGCTGTTCTCTCATAAGTTTGTCTTGTATTGTCATTGTTGCCTTATATGCTAGTGAGTGTAGACCACCAAACAACTGTCATATGATAAACACATATTACTGGGAAGTGAGCTGGATTTAATAGTGAGTATTGGGTTTCTCAGATACATTTTCAAACATGACTTTTTCATACATGACTACTTTAGGTGTCCCCCACTGGTTTTTGCTAAAGTTCCTTTTCTCCCTTCCATCCTTTCATTCTGTCCAACATACATTTCTTGAAACTTGCTATATATCACTGTGTTTAATGGACATTTTTGTTTGTTTTTTGTGGTTTTTTTTTAGATAGAATCTCACTCTGTCATCTAGGCTGGAGTGCAGTGGCGTGATCTCTTGGCTCACTGCAACCTCCGCCTCCCGGGTTCAAGCAAGTCTTGTGCCTCAGCCTCCCGCGTAGCTGGGATTACAGGTGTGCATCACCATGCCTGGCTAATTTTTGTATTTTTAGTAGAGACAGGGTTTCGCCATATTGGCCAGCTGGTCTTGAACTCCTGGCCGCAAGTGATCTGCCCATCTCGGCCTCCCAAAGTGCTGGGATTACAGGCAGGAACCACCATGCCCGGCCTTTAATGGATTTCTTCAAACACCTTTTGCACCTTCTTAACCAACAGATTAACCATCTACCCTTTTCTCTTAACTTTAGGCTTTGTCTGGCATATGGAGGATCTGATGTGTCAAGATGTTTTTACTGGCTAATGCAGCGAGCTGGGTTCCCTTACAGAGAATGCCAGTTAACAAATAAAATGGATTGTCTTCTTCTGCAACACCTTAAAGAAACTTTTTGTCATTTAGATCAGGTGGGAGCAGAATGAATATTGCTGATTATTTTTGTTTCTAGGAAAAAGTTAAGAGATTTAAAAGATACTTAAAAATGTAACAGCATTGGCTGGGCGTGGTGGCTCACACCTGTAATCCCAGCACTTTGGGAGGCCAAGGCGGGCGGATCACGAGGTCAGGAGATCAAGACCATCCTGGCTAACACAGTGAAACCTTGTCTCTACTAAAAATACAAAAAATTAGCCAGGTGCGGTGGCAGGCGCCTGTAGTCCCAGCTACTCAGGAGACTGAGGCAGGAGAATGGCGTGAACCCGGGAGGCGGAACTTACAGTAAGCTGAGATTACGCCACTGCACTCCAGCCTGGGCGACAAAGCGAGACTCCATCTCAAAAAAAATAAATAAAAAAATAAAGTATCAGCATTATACTGCCTTTTTCAACTCAAGATAAAGCCTTGAGGAGAAAGCCCTTAAGGAGTGAAAGTTTTTTGTTTTTTTTTTGCTAAGGTCCAAGCAGTGAGGGTGTGTCTCAGGCTCTGGAAAACAATTTGATTTTTTTAGGAAACAGAGTTTAGCAAATTTCTCTGTCTTATCTTGATAAAAGGTGAAGATAAACCTTTAGGTGTAAGGAGGATAGTAGGTAAATATGTAAGTACAGACATTTTGTTAAATGTTATAATTGGAAGCACTTTCTTAATATTGCAAACAATGTTTAATCATTGCTATATATGGATTGGTATCCTTTTTTTGAGACTTGTTTTTACTTTTTTCAGGTAATCTAAATTTTAAAAAATTAGGGAAACATAAAAATACTGTAAATTTCCCAGTTACTGAGGGAATTTGCTTATTGATTTGGGTCATTGTTTGTACTAATGTATATTGATAAGGGAGAAAACAAATAATGCAAACAGTAGAAATTCCAGAAATTTTAGATAGAGGAACAAAGTACAGCTGAATTCCTATTTTAAGTTATAGTGAGAGTGGTACAAAGCTGTAGGTTGTCCTTTTTATAGCTGATATTTAGATGATGGCGAGGCTGAAGCATAATTTGAAGAGTTTACATGCATTCTTACTGATTCACTGACAGCATCTTTTCCTGGAATCAGGACATCTCTGGGCTTCAGGACCATGAGTTTCAGATTCGACATCCTGATTCTCCTGCCCTGCTTTACCAGTTTCGATTAGGAGATGAAAAACTCCAGGTAACTTATAGGTGTCTGTTTCCATGGGTAGAAAGAAAGTTATCCAGGTTCAGTCACACTGAGAGAATATGCACTTGCTGGAAACATTGTGAGATCAGAATGTCAACTGATTGTAGATTATCCACTAAACCAACATTTAAGCCACTGGTATAGAATGGATCTGAAAAACATCTTTCTAGTTAGCCCCTATATGATGAGTTGTTAATTAGAGAGAAAGGTAGCATTCTTTTTAGGAAATTATGAAGTAGATTATGAAGTACTTTATATTTGTTTTGAGATTTCTCTCATATGGTGTCATATCACCCATCTAGTTGGATGATGAGTCAGTTTTCTGGCCTATGGTACAGCAGAGAAATAATGTCACTCCCAAAAGAGAAGATTGCCTAGTCTAACTTAAGAGAATCTGATCTGCCAGTTTTGTTTTTAGAAGAACAGCATTTAGTGGATCAGTTTTTTTCAGGAGGCAGTATCTTTTGTTGATCACTCTTTTCCTTCCATGTACAGGCTCCAATGGCTTTGTTCTACCCCGCAACTTTTGGAATTGTTGGACAGAAAATGACGACTTTGCAGCACAGATCTCAGGGCGATCCTGAGGATCCTCACGATGAACATTACCTGCTGGCCACACAGAGCAAACAAGAACAGGTCTGTAGCAATTCTGGTAGGAGAAGAGAGAGTTTTGTCCCTGAAGGAGAAATTTGTCCAGCGTTAATAGGCCATTGTAATCAGTTCTATCTTCCAGCATAACACTGATATAGCTTTTAGAATTGTAGATCAACTGAAGTCTGAGTTTAAAATCTGGAAGATAGATTTCTCTATTCAGCAAACATTAATTTTCTGAATGCTAGTCCATACATTTAAAAGTTAATGACACTTTCCTTTTGGTGTGTATCATTTACTTACATTATCTACTTCTGAATATTTTTTCAGCAGTATTTTCATTAAAATCTCACCTGTTACTTAATTTTGTGAAAGATGCATGGCATAGCCAAAGAGCTGAATTCCTTTGTTGAAAGCGGATCCCCGTAATATGATGTCTGGTACAGGGGCACAAATTAAAGGTCTTGTCTGCTAATGAAACAGCACCAGCTCATGATGGAGACTAGATTTTCTAGTCTTTGTTCCTCCCCAGAGGCAAACATGAGGTGGACTGGATAGGATCTGAAAGTAAGAATTCCTTAACAGTCATGGCCCATGAATCCCACTGGAATACTCCATTTAAAAACTCAGGGCACGGGGAAGAAAGTCTGTCTGCACTGGTTTTTCAGTTTTAAAATCTAACCAGTGATGATACGGTTCTGAGAGCCACCCTGCCTACCGGCAGCTACCCTGCTTTGGAATGGTCAGAGCATCTTCATCTGTGCACCGTCTCTCATTCCTGTTACCTGAGAATGGGTGCTGGGCAGTTGTTGTATTGCTGCGTGACTTTTGTTTTATACCTAGTGCATAGTAGTAGGGTAGGGAGGGATCTAGCTAGACAACATCAACAGTGTTCTGTTGTAGTAATACCACCTACTTGATTGTCCTTTTGATTTAAAGTCTGCAAAAGCTACTGCTGACCGAAAGTCTGCATCCAAACCTATTGGATTTGAAGGGGATCTTCGTGGCCAGTCCTCTGATCTTCCAGAAAGACTCCATTCCCAAGAAGTAGATTTGGGGTCCTCACAGGGAGATGGCCTGATGGCCGGCAACGATTCCGAGGAGGCCCTCACTGCACTGATGTCCAGGAAGACTGCCATCTCGCTGTTTGAAGGGAAAGCCCTGGGCCTGGATAAAGCTATCCTTCATAGCATAGACTGCTGTTGTAAGCACATCCGGGGAGACCGGGAGATAACAGTGAAACAAAATAGCAGTTAAATAAATTGGTTCAGTCTAGGATATAGTTGTGCAGTATAACATATTCATTGAAAAACGATTAAGCGCCTGCTTGACTTGCATTGCCAGGTGTTGGGAATACATTAATGAGGTAGGATGGGTTTATAGCCTAGTGGAAGAAGCCAAAATAAGTCAAATTATTACACAAATGTGGAATTACCACTGGCAGGGTACTGCTGAGCAGTCAGTATCCTTTAGCTCAACTTTGTAGCACCTGCCAGTGGTAATTTCACATTTGTGTAATAATTTGAGAAATTTCACATAGAATCTTTATTCCCTAGGGGATGGTATGGAAGGTGAGAGGCAGGGAAAGCTTCCTTGAGGAAGGTGGCCCTTGAGAGAGACATAAAGGATGATGAAAGGGGTCAGTTAGCAGTAACAGATGGGGTAGAGGAAGAAGCCTGTGAAGATCAATGTGGCTGGGAAGCAGGGTGTGAGGATGAGGCTAGAGAAGCGGGTGAGGACCACCCATAGTGAATCTTATGGGTCCCTTTAAATATTTTATTTATTTATTTATTTATTTTCAGACAGAGTCTCACTCTTGCTCAGGCTGGAGTGCAATGGCATGATCTCGGCTCACCACAACCTCTGCCTCCTGGGTTCAAGTGATTCTCCTGCCTCAGCCTCCCGAGTAGCTGGGACTATAGGCGCGCGCACTACCATTCCCAGCTAATTTTTGTCTTTTTAGTAGAGGTGGGGTTTCACTATGTTGGCCAGGCTGGTTTCGAACTCCTGACCTGGTGATCCACCCGCCTTGGCCTCCCATAGTTCTGGGATTACAGGCGTGAGCCACCACACTCGGACTGTTAAAAATTTTGATCCTAATCTTGCAAGTAGGATTGCAGTGGCGTGGCAACACGCCTACATTTGTGTTTTGTAGGGTTCCCCTGGCTGCAGTGTGGAGGGTGGGCTGGAGGGAAATCTTTGAGAAGGCTATTGCACTTGCCCAAGCAAGAGGTGTTGGTGGCTTGGCCTAGAATTATGGATGTGGAGAGAAAAGCATGGAGTATGTCACTGTCTTTTCAGCATCCGATGATACCAAAAAGAAGATGTACAGCTCCATCCTAGTGGTGGGAGGTGGTTTGATGTTTCATAAAGCTCAAGAATTTCTGCAGCACAGAATTCTCAACAAAATGCCACCATCGTTCAGGCGAATTATTGAAAATGTGGATGTGATCACAAGGCCTAAGGTAGGTTGTTTTATTCTGCAAGTTGGACTGTATACAAATGAAACCAGCCTTGTATGTGGACAGATCAGATCCCAGGAGGCATGGGCTTGTGTCTGAGGAGTTCTTGAGGGCTTAGGGCAAGTGGGAAAGTTAATTTCAGCAAGCCATAGATGTGGTGGAACGTGCTCTGGCCTAAGGTACTGGATTTCTGCTGCTTTCCCCTGCCGCGCTCCCCAGACTAGCATGACTGAATTCCACCTTTGTTGGGCAAGGGGAGGACGGACTGCTCTCAAGCCCTGCCAGCCAGAACGGCTCCATTTTAATCTCTTTTTTATATGAAGGATCTACTTCTGGTCCCTGGACCAGATGATGTTTAAAGATCTTTTTGGTTTGAACTATCTTGAAAGATAAACCCAGGAATTAGATTTTGTGTGTTTTATTAAATGTCACTAACAATTCCTGGAAATGTTGCTATTTCTTTTTAATCCTGAGGGAGGGATTGTGGGGATCTATTTATTCCATTCAAACTTCGAAATAAATAAGTCATTTGTATATGTTCCTGTGTACAGGGTAAACAGTATTTGTGCAATAGTAGTAAATAATAGCATCTTTAGTTATAAAAATTTAAAAGTTTTCTTGGCTATTGAAAGAGAAAGATGCCTGTAGTTCATAAGTACTACTGTCTTTAATACAGGTTGAAAGCCTGGCTTACTAGGTATTGACTCAGCAGGGATTTTTCTCGGCCCCATATTCAAGTAAATGATTGAGTATGTATCTTATGTGATTAGGCTAAAATGTCTTCATCCCTTTTCTAGGACATGGACCCCCGACTGATTGCATGGAAAGGAGGGGCAGTGTTGGCTTGTTTGGATACAACACAGGAACTGTGGATTTATCAGCGAGAGTGGCAGCGCTTTGGTGTCCGCATGTTACGAGAGCGGGCTGCGTTTGTGTGGTGAATGGGGAGGAAATGTCACTGCTGAAGACCAAAAACAAGCTTCTTGGTATAAAAGACTCTTACAGAATATAGGTATTGTAATTTATTGGTCTAGATGCTTAAGTGTCATGGACAGTAAATGAATTTGAACTTTATGTTGAGGACATGACATTGGTTTGAAATTATAAACTGCTTTTGAGCAGTTTGGTCAGGGCATTTGAGAATAAATAGGAACTTACTCTTCAGTTGTAAACTCTCTTGCCCTCTCTCAGGGTCTCATAAACTCCCCAGTGATGTAAACATTGCTATTGAAGTTTCTCATGTGGTGAAGCCCTTCATTTAAGTTGGCTCGTTGAATCTCATCAGCAGGCAGCCTCATAAAACCATGAGGGGTAGTGTGTGACGAGGGAGAACTGTCCACTCATGCCATTCTCTCTCTTGTCTAGTATTTCATTAGGATCTAAAGTTGTCTGAGTTAAATGTACTTATGATGTGACTCATATGTCCTTTTAGAATCCCAAATAGGGGGAAAAAGTTTTGGTTGTTTTTGGTTTTTTTCATTTTCTGTTGGATTACAGAAAAAGAATGGGACCCATTCAAGTCTCGATTTCCAAAGGTAAAGATGGAAGGCTGGGCAGACTAGTTTTTGTTATCTGACATGCCCTAGGGTGAGCTTGGAGGAAGAAAGAAAACAGTTTTTATTTGGCCAAAACAGAACAAATGCTGAAAAGGAAATCTTGTTTTCTTCCTAAAGCTAAATAGAAATGATCTGGGTATAATTTAGAGTTCTTGTGTTATACTGATAATGGTGACTGATGTAGTTATTAATACTACAGACTTAGTCATCAAGCCCCAATTTTCCTTTACCTGAAGGATTAAGTGAAAGCTTCTGGAGTTCATGATGTTCAGTATGATTAGTTGACCTTAACCTCTGAGCATCCTGAAGCAAAATCTAAATAATACAGCTATTACCACTGGTGGTCCAGGCTCTAGTGAAACCCTCTGAGCCCAGGAGGAAGAGAAGGCATTGTCCAGATACAGGAACAGTCTGGGAGCCCAGCGCTCTGGGAGGAGTGGGAAAATCGCTGCTTCCTGCTGCTTCCTCCTAGGCACCTGCTTCCACCATCTCGCTTATCAAGGCTGGAGATGGGGGTGAGACGGAAGGACAAAAGCAGGGAACAGATAAGAGATGGAAATCAGAATGGAATACAGAAAGAACTCTGGATGTGGAGAAATGCTGGTACTAGAGCATTTTGTATCAATGGGAATACCCTCTGTAACTGCTCAGTAGGTTACAAATGAAGAGTCTACCAGTATTAAAAATAGTTTAAACTTGCCAGTACCAACTGGGATGTGTGCCTTCAATTTGAAAATTGTATGTTTTATTTTTTAAATGTGTTAACAACATTATAGAATATTGATGTCATTTATGTTTCTGGGGTGTTTCAATGCAATTTCGTATCAGCTGCCTGCTTTCAAAAACATAATGTATCTGGGCCGGGTGCAGTGGCTCACGCCTGTAATCCCAGCACTTTGGGCAGCCAAGGCGGGTGGATCACGAGGTCAGGAGATCGAGACCATCCTGGCTAGCATGGTGAAACCCTATCTCTACTAAAAATGCAATAAATTAGCTGTGGTGGCGGGTGCCTGTAGTCCCAGCTACTCGGGAGGCTGAGGCAGGAGAATGGTGTGAACCCAGGAGGCGGAGCTTGCAGCCGAGATCCCGCCACTGCACTCCAGGCTGGGCGACAGAGCAAGACTCCGTCTCAGAAAAACAAAACAAAACATAATGTATTTCTTATTAAATAGTTCTTCACCTAACAGCATATTGCCCTTGTAACTGGTAGAGCTGATTCAAAGGAAGTTGGTTTCTGGTCCAAGTTTGACCTCAACCATGTCCATCTTCTGCTACCAGCACTTACAAGCACTGTGAAAACTGATCATGACAAATAAGTGAAATTTGCTACATTAAACATATTGCCTCAGCCATTACTAAGTGTCCCCTTGTAAAGCTGGACACAGTTTTTATTTTATGCTTCATTTTGATTTTTTATCCATAAGACATAAATTAGAAGGCATGAGGTGGCCCTTTAAGGATAATCTGCAAATATACACATTTTAATAGTCATCCATCAGAAAGTGATCCACATTCCAGAGAAGATTCAGTATTGTGCTGTGTGAAATAAGCATTCCCAGAAAAAAACATATATGCTAATATAATGTAACCTCTGCATTAAGAAAAAGATGCTTTTAGGCCAGGCTCACACCTGTAATCCCAGCACTTTGGGAGGCCCAGGTGGGCGGATCACGAGGTCAGGAGATCAAGACCATCCTGGCTAACACAGTGAAACCCCATCTCTACTAAAAATACAAAAAATTAGCTGGCGTGGTGGCAGGCACCTGTAGTCCCAGCTACTCGGGAGGCTTGGGCAAGAGAATGGCATGAACCCGGGAGGTGGAGCTTATGGTGAGCCAAGAGAGCGCCACTGCACTCCAGCCTGGTTGAGAGAGGGAGACTCCGTCTCAAAAAAAAAAAAAAAAAAAAATTAAAGATGCTTTTAGAAGAGTAAAAAGTTGGAAGACAAAATGCACCATCTTTTGTGTTTTGTCATTCTGTGGGGGTTTTTTTCATTTGTTTGTTTGTTTTAGACAGGGTCTCGCTGTCACCTAGGATGGAGTGCACTGGCACAATCACCATTTACTGCACCCTTGACCTCCAGGGCTCAAGTGATCCTCCCACCTCAGCCTCCCTAGTAGCTGGGACCACAGGCTCACACCATCACACTCAGCTAATTTTTAAAATCTTTTGTAGAGATGGAGGTCTCGCTTTGTGACCTAGTCTGGTCTTGAGTGATCCTTTTGCCTTGGCCTTGCCAAAGTGCTGGCATTGGAGGCATGAGCCATTGCACCCAGCCCTGTTTTTTATTTAAGTAAACCATCATAATAACTGATTTATAAAAAGGTTACTTCAAGAGGGCTTTCAACTTAAGAATTATTTTCATTTAACTAAGACAGTGACCTCTAATAGGTAACTTTAGGCAAAAGTAGACAAGTTTGTGGGTAATGTATTTTGGTGTTCATGTTAAAAGGCACCTGTACAAGAATCAAGATATGAATCTAGTTTGTAGAGGGAAGGTCTTATGCAAACACTAAATACAAGTGGTTACACATACACTAGATCATCTGGTTCAGTAAAGGTGGGTTCAGCTTGTTTATTGCCTACTTTTGTTATCTTAAAAACCATGATTTTTTGCACGTAATAGAAGGTTTTTCACCTAAGATGCTACTGAGTGAACCAGTGAGGGGTTCTTAGATTCAGTATTCATTCATCAAACGTAGAATATTAGCTAAACAGTTCTGTGTACATTGCAATGCATGGACTATGCAAGACTAGATGTTTGGCTGGAAGATACTTTACTGTTGCATTATCAAAATGGTTATAGTTTTCAATTAAAACTAATTGATTTCTATGTATAAACCTAATCTAGCTTTGAAGTTGTAAATGTAGTTTCTTTAGTTAATGCTACATTAGTTAGCAGTATTTGAAACAATTTCATTGGCATAAAATGTTTTAATTACTAAGGCTATTTGTAGGCTGCATAGTAAGCTTCAGGATCATCACACGTTTTTTCCTTGTAATTGGTGGGGTAGGAAGCCTTTAAGGTCTCTTGCTTCTCATGGGTGGGCTACAAGGAGCAGCAGCCATTGTGGCAGGCTTGTGATCTTTTTCCTGCTGACACCTGCTGCTTGACGTGAAGTTCTGCACAGAAAGCAGTGGCATCCTTCATGAGTTGGTACTTGGGGCAGACACTGAGAGCATTATAATTGTCTTTGGTATCAGTCTCTCTAAAGTAGACCACCACATATTTGTGCAGATGAGTCTGGCTTCTTAGATCACTGCAGAAAAGGTTAAAGGCAAGGGGGAAGAGGTCTTGAGAGTTCTCACTGGGACTGCCCTCACTCTTGGCACAGGTACCATCGCAAACACTGTTGACGTCATTGGAAAGAAGGAAGACAACTTTGTCTGCTGCCTTCTTTTGAGTGGCAAGCCACTGCACTGGACCCATCTCTGCTATTTTCTTTTTCTGCCACTTTTCAAGGATGACCTCACTTCTGCAATGGTTTTGAAGAAATTCAGTGAAGTAACAAATTGTGTGATGGAAACATATTTCAGATGGGTAAACCACAAGAACCTTAATGGGGGGCAGTAGTGTGGTGGTAGAAAAGGAAGTCATCTTGTTCCTTTCTGTCAGGGGAGAAAAGCATTTGTTATCTGTGAACAGTAAACAGCAGGCTTTCACTCTGTAAACCACCCCTGACAAATGAACCCTTGTTAGAGAATGTCAGCTGAGCACCAAGGGCCTTGTTAGTGACAGCAAGGAAAAACATTCTGATGTTCCTTTTGAACACATCACCTGAAACACACTGATGCTTAAACCTTAACTTTTTAAACCTTATTTGAAGGGATGGCCTGCCCCTCCACACCTGTGGGCGTTTCTCGTTAGGTGGAACGAGAGACTTAAGAAAAGAAGTGAGACACAGAGACAAAGTATAGGGAAAGAAAAAGTGGGCCCAGGGGACCGGCGCTCAGCATACAGAGGACCCACGCTGGCACCAGTCTCTGAGTTCCCTCAGTATTTATTGATCATTATCTTTACCATCTTAGAAAAAGGGAAGTGGCAAGATAATAGGATCATGGTAGGGAGGTCAGCAGTAAGACATATGAATAAAGATCTCTGTGACATTGAATAAGTTTAAGGAAAAGTGCTGTGCCTTGATATGCATATGCAAACATCTCCATAAACCTTTTTAGTGCATTAAGAGCAGCATTGCTGCTAGCACGTCCCACCTTCAGCCCTAAGGCGGTTTTCTCCTTTCTTAGTAAACAGAGCATACAATCAGGTTTTACACCGAGATGTTCCATTGCCCAGGGATGGGCAGGAGACAGATGCTTTTCCCTATCTCAACTGCCAAGAGGCCTTCTTTCCTCTTATACTAGTCCTCAGCACAGACCCTTCATGGGTGTCAGGCTGGGGGACGATCAGGTCTTTCCCTTCCCACGAGCCATATTTCAGACTATCACATGGGGAGAAACCTTGGACAATACCTAGCTTTCCTAGGCAGAGGTCCCTGCGACCTTTGGCAGTGTATGTGGCCCTGGGAACTTGAGATTAAGAGAATGGTGATGACTTTTCACAAGCATACTGCCTTCAGGCACTTGTTTAAACAAAGCATGCCCTGCACTGCCCAAAATCAGTTAAACCTTGAGTCACCACAGCACATGTCTCTTGCAAGGACAAGGTTGGGGGTAGGGTCACAGATTAACAGCATCTCAAATACAGAACAAAATGGAGTCTCTTATGTTTACTTCTTTCTATATAGACACAGTAACAGTCTGATCTCTCTTTCTTTTCCCCGTACTTATTTAAAAAGCAGTATTTTCTAAGTCCCTTTCACTAAAACAATCCTCTCAACCAAGCCTTCTCTTTTCAAATAAATTCATAGAAACTTTAGGTTT